TAGACTATCCAAGGATTCTAGAGAGAGGTGTGCTACCCAGTGTTAGCAATGCCATCCAGACTGAATTGCACAGAGTATAATTCAGTCTAGTACATAGCTGCTGACTTTGACAAGATTTGGCTAGACCAATCACAAAGCAGGAGGCAGGACTTCACGGTTCATGACTTTCAATGGCAGCATTAAATATAATGCCTTTCTGCTAGCATAACAAGCTGCCGACCGCAACAAAGCAATGTGGAAATGAAGATTAAGAATGTACCCGAGAGCACACTTTATATCCTCTAAATTTTTAGGCAAAACTGCAAATATCTTTCACTGGATATTTTCATTGACTACGAAAATACAAGAACAGAGCATGTCACTTGGAGTTTTTGCATCATATCCTTAGTTATCCGATTGGTTCTAACCTGATGAGGCTGACCTTGTTTGTCTCACCTTTGAAATCAAGCTTTACCAGGCCTTTACCAGACTGATATGCAGTGTATGCGTCATATTAGTCTGGCGGTCCAGGCTAGCCCAGTGTCAGAAAGCTTGGTCACAGTCGCAGGTCAAGATAAAAACCCTAAAGAATGGCTAAGAGGAAAACAGTGGACTATTTAGAAGTGGCCCTCTATGAGCCTTGCCCCACATGCGATTGATCATCTTTGGAAGGAGATGAAACATCCCTTCTGGAAAAGGCATCCTTCAAACCTGAAACCAGTGGAGCAGTTTGCTCATAAGCATGGACCAAAATACCTGCTGAGAGCAGAAGTATCAAATAAAATATTAAATTAAGGGTGCCGTTTTTTTTTTGTTTTTTTTTCCAGGCTTGTTTCACTGTTTTATAAGATACATTTATTTAATAATTCTATTGAAGCATGGTTGAAGAGCAATGTTTGAATTTCATTTGTTCATTTTCATATAATATTTTCATTATTACTTTTTTCAGATTTAAATTATGTATATTACCTTTGCGGTTTTTCTTTTATTAAATAATGGATACCCACAATTCTGTCCATCTGTCAACTTACTTTGCTTTCTAGAAAATCTTACGGATACCAATACGGGTGTCAAAATGAATTTATAAGATGTTAATTCTATAGATCTAAAGCAACTGGTTTGCCAGAGGTTTTGTTCCTGTTTAGGTTAAGCCCTGGGAATAATACTTTTTTCACATTGATTTTTCGTGCACAGTTTAAAGGTAAAGTGGAGGATTTTTTGCGAATTTTTGAAAAGAACCGCTCTCTCCACTTTAAAAAAAAAGTGCACATGCACAACCATGAATCTGCTCCCGAGAGGGAACACATATTAAACGCGTGCAAGAGAATTCACAAGCCCATTTCTCCTGGTGCACGCTCTGTTTACAAGTTGCTGTCTGCATCGCTCATACAAGCTCATACAAGCTCTATGTCAGTCTCACCACCGGTAAGTGAAAATGGGGACCAGCACGTAGGATGGCCTTACGTAAACGTACCACCAGAATGATTGGCAATTAGGAGGGCCACTTATCTTGATGATACACCAGGAAAAAGAACATCATCCACTATACCTTTAAGACAACAAGCAAAATTAGCTGAGAATCTTAACAGTTTCATTAAGAATGAAACTGTGTACATATACAAATTAGATCTTTTTTTATCAGTTTATTGGGTGAAAAAATCCATTCCAACCACATTTATTTAATGGCTGGAATGGATGGATTTCACCATGTTATTGAACATTACAGGATATATCATATGTGTGAGTGTGATGCTGTATGGCATAGCTAACACCACATAAATAGAACAATGATTCTAGCTGATTTATGAGCCTCACTCAATAGTACTCTCATTAACAGCGGACATTGACTGAGGTGCGTGTAGTCATGCATCAGGTGCAGAGGGACAGAGGCTGTTTAGAGCAGGCTTTTATCTATTTACCCTCTAATCAGAACCTCAGATTCGATCCGCATATCCTCCTCCTCTGGCAATGGACTGATATGTTCTCCTAATGTAGCAGTAATTTATTATATCATGCTACTACTTCCCCGCTTCCCCAGGGTAGGTCTCTGTGGTGCTATGACAATTGCTCACCAGGTAATTATCAAGCTCACACTCATCTTGCTCCAAAGGTCTGAGAGGGGGAAATTTTAATGTATTATTCTACAGCTCAATACCAGTGACATTCACACTTAAACTTTGAAACATATTGATTGGTATAATTTAATCAGAGGTGCTATTTTTAAAATAACTTTAGTATAGTATTAGATTAGTATAGGATATTACAAAATCAATGTTTGTATTTAATTAGTTTTTTACTGAGTCACTGACAAAAATAAATTAAGGCATCCTAAAAAAAAATAAAAATAAAAAACAGTACACAGATTCCATCAGTTTTGAGAGATGAAAAACAATGATGTGCTTTAGATTTAATGAGGAAAGATAAGGGCAGACTATTAAATCATTGTTCTTTATAAGGAAATGATCAAACATTGTGGTCTAACTGGATTTACTTTAGTTCTGTAAAAGGAAACAGATTTTCTTGTATTTTAAATTGCTCTTCACTGTTTTGAGTCACGTATATTTTTTTTCCTTCTTTAGATTATTTATTTAATACCAACCCATTATTTACCATCACCATCCACACCCACCTCCACTGCTATAAGCTGGTCTAAGATGTAAATAGTCAGCCAATGTGATGTAACAAGAATAACAGAAACTCCCTTGATTGATAGGACATGAAGGATCTCCAAAAAAGCATAACACTTTTATGATGATGTTTTTAATTGTGTGTTATCATGGTGGTGCTGTATCAGGGTCCTGTGTGGAGCATTTAGAAACATTTGACACTGATGGAACTGTATTAATGAGTTGATGCCAGCCAAACTTGGTGTCATATTTCAGTACTGTAAGCCCATCACTTCCAATTCATGTAAGAATGGGTGTGGTTTCTATGCACATTAACATGCTGCACATTTCTCATTAAAATCATTGGAATTACACTTTATTCACTTTTTTAGATGGATGCAAAGCACACCTTTTCTCTTATTATGAAAGAAGGAAGTGCAGAGGAGATTCTACACAGAAAACCTTTCATCTGATTCGTCTTATGCTACTGATAATGTGATTTTAAAAGCTGACAGATTAATTATTAATGCTAAAGCATTAGCACCAGTTTGTAGGAAGAGGAGATTTTTTTTCTGTACTGCTGCTAAATTTATACCGGAAGCTCAAAAACCTTCCCTATATTGAGCAAAGCTGGGACAAGGTCATGAACACCATCAGGTTCCCACCAAATACCCATGGCATTAGCACTGGTTGTTGTAGAATTTTTGTATTTTCCAATCCATTTACACTGAAATAGGTTGCATACTAAAGTGTGTAGCAGCAGTCTCATCCAGTAAAGGGATGAGATTTTCCTTTTAATAAAATTCTATAAAAGAAGGATTAGGTTTTTTTGAAATGAGGTTAAAGCATTTGCACAAAACTCATGATTAGTTATGAAGTTTAGAGAAAATGCTGCAACAATAATCTTGTTGCAGAAAAACTGTCAGAGTAACTGAGGTCAACACATTATCTCTAAGAACTATTTCTCTGTAAATAATCATAAATAAATAAATAAATACATAATTGATTTGAAATATACACTTGAAAAATGATCTAGAAATAAGAAAAAAATTCTTAAATTAAGTGTATTTACCCTTGATTTGAGTAGATAAATGAGATAGTTTGCCAATGGAACCAGTATTTTTACTCTTAAAATAAGATAATATTATTTAAATTAGACAATGCAATTGTGTTTTCTTATTTTAAGTGTAAATTATCTTGTTCCATTGGCAAAATGTATCTTTTATCTCCTCAATTCAAGAACAAATTTACTTATTTTAAGAAAAAAATGATTTATCAAGATTTTGATTTTTTTGCAGTGTATCTGCCAAATACAAATATTATGACAGTTAAAAGGTTTATAGAATTTTTATCAAATAAACTATTACTTCATGAGACTCGTGAAATATGTGATAGATATATACTCCCCTTTTGTTTTGACTTATAAATTAGCTTTTAACTCCAGAACCAATTAATTTTTGTGACAAACTTTGAAAAACATGAAAAACTGTAGAACTACATCTCAACTGTAACTACTGAGATATTGGATCTCAATGAGACAGGCTCTGTAAATAAATGTGACATGAAAAGAATGAGAACCTTGAGCATACAATGTAGTTATAACTGCTTTAGAAAATATTGCAACAGAGAGATAGCAAAAAAAAAACATTTGATTTACTTTACAATATGATATTGTGGCAATTATTTTTCTTGTCTATTGAAAAAGTCCTATTTGGATTGAATGTGCTTTTGTTTACTTTTAAAATTCACAAGCGCCTTTTTGTTATCAAGCTACTTAGATCTCAGTTTCACTTGACTTTGTAGCAGGGTTCATTTTCTTTTTAAATATATTATAATAGATTTCTTCTGAAAAATAAGAATGTATTTTGAGCAGCACTACAATGGAATGTCATGTCAAGAACTTTTAAATTATCTCCACAACAACAAAAAAATATATATTAACATGTATTATGCTGTGTCCTTAGAATACCTCTTTAAAAGATTAGCTGTATCTTCAGCCTTGAGAATGGCAGTAGGAAATGTATTCACAATGTCTGTATAAAATGATGGATCAGGGGGATTTACTGCTAATGTCTAAGACAAATTACCATAAAAATAAATTAAACTTAAGGCAGTAAGGTGCAGTGGTGATAGGATGAATTTATAATTCATTCCTTCACGCAGTTCTCTATACCCACTAATCTGAGAGTAACAGCAGTAAATGTTCTGTTATGCAGGTTTAGAGCATGTTAAGAAATTTGAAAAAGCATATTCACTTAAATTTTAGAATTATTCTATAAGACATCTGTGCAAAATTTGAGTCAGTGGGTCAGAAATATACACACACTGGGCAGGTTCAAATCCAGTTGTCTTTATCCTTCAATCCTTGTCTCTCAAACTAAGCACATTTTTTTTGGTGGTGTGATTGTTCTGCAGCAGTGCGACCCTGGCAGTGAAAGGAACAGAACCAGACACATCCTCCGCCTTCCTGCCTCAGAGAAAGCAGCCTGTCCAGAGCTGGTTCAGTCAGAACCTTGTCTTTTAAACAGCACCTGCTTCACTTACCAATACAAAGTCTCAGGTATGGGCATCTAACACACTGTTTTAATGTTATGTTAGATAAAGAGGCAAATATTTAAGGATCGAGGGAAAAAAAAGCCAGTTTTGTCATTGGTTCATAATCATATATGTCTCATGTGTAGAGCAGCTACATTAAAAAAGGCATGCCACATGTGTCTTTATTTTCTCTATAGATCAAAGGTTTTGTCTCTGAAAACATAATTTGCATTTCTAGCCTTTTGTGTTTAGCTCCTAAGCAATACCTGTTTTAACAGCCACGTTCTGTATATATCCTCTTAAATTCCAGCTGAGCTGCTGCTATTTTTCTTAAATCTTCATCAGCGTCACAGTGGCTGACTAAAACTAAATTATGTTAGTAGGTACAGTTCATTTCATGGAAAAAATCTTATGTGCATTGCTTTTCAGTATCATTGAAAGTATTTAGCTTTAAATAACTGGTGCTCTGGCATAGCCTTCTTATGCAGCTGAGATGCCCACATGTATCACACATGCAACTGAAACCAGATATCTTCCATGCAAAGGACAAATTAAGCCATTTTTCTGTCTGACACTGAATCTTTCCAGTTTTAGGTCTGTTAGGATTGCCTAAATTGTTTCAGTGTCAGAAAAATGATGCAGAGATTTTTTTTAGACTTTTTTTAAACTCCAAACCTAAAATACTGTATGTTTGCTATACCTTTAAACTTTCTCCCCCTTATGATTCAAAATATGGAACAGAGACACGAATTAAACTTAAGTCTACTTACAAATTATATTCAGCAATGTTTATATACTATGTTGTATTAACTTTGGTGACAACAAAAAGCCAACGTTGTTACGTCAAAAGCTAACGTCAGTTAAACGTTAAGTTTGTAACATTAATCTGACATCATTTAGTTGCTGTCAAGTTGTGTTGGTGAGTTACCAATATCCAACATCTGCTCAACATTGAGTACTAATGTTCAATTAAGAAAGGATTTTACATAAATCCATCTTACATTTTCATATCATAATCCAATGGTAATCCAACGTTGGGCTCCCACATTGTTTCAGTGTTACTTTAATGTCAAGTGCCTGCTACATAGCAAGTTAAAAGTTATCTTAGTAATCCTAACTGACTTTAAACCAAAACGGTTTCAATTTTAAATATTTTAAAGATGATTAAAAATAACCCCATGTTATTAGTTTTACACTGTATTTGAGTTAGGTTTTAACTATATGCGCTATTACTACCGACTCAATAGAAGTGCTATGCAAGAGTACCAGCAATATTCCACTTGTTAGGGATTAATCTCATGCCAATCTCATGCAAATTGAATCTGTCTTTTCAATCAGTTGTTTTTTAACAAATGGTATCAAAAATAATGTGTTTGAGTCTGCCTTTTTTAACAAAAAGCTGTCTCTTCACTCACTGTATTCTGTAAAGCTCAGACTGGTCTGTTGATTAAGAAACTGAGATTGCGAGGCAATCTGTCAGGGTTCTTTAAAATACAGCACCTCTCTATGAAGCATTGTAAAAATGTGCTATATGGGCATATTAGTCACTGAGGGGTGGGGGGGTGAATTGAATGTAAATGCAAAGATGTAAAAAAAAATACTGTCACTATCTTTTAATGTTTACTCACATTCTTTCATCAATTTTGTCCCCCCCCCCCCCAATCCTTTCCTAAGTCTGTACTGCAAAAATAAAACAAAAAAGTCATGCACATGTAACAATGTTTTGTTTGTAGACTGGAGTACCTGCCGGCTGAGTGAAAATGCCATCTGTGGTCAGGGTTACCGGTCGCGTCTGCTGGACTGTGTGCGGAGTGATGGTAAAACTGTGGAGTTGCAGAAGTGCCAACAGGTAATGGCCCTATAAAGATAGAGAGGCCTTAAATAAAAAGCCTGCAGAGGAAAGCAGTTTGAGCTTATTGTTGGCGGATGTTTAATCTTCACTTATTCTCCTTGATACAGACACACAAGGGCTTTACCAGGGGCTTTGTTTTAATTGCAAGTATATCCCAATTCACATTTTATATCTGCTTAAAAATTTAAACCCATCCAGATTATAAGAGAATGAAATACTAATGAATTTGTTATATTTACTTATTAAGAAGGATGTCTTTGTGTTAAACAGAAGAAATCTTGTGTTCCTCCATTTCAGTGAGGGGTTATTGATGGTTAATGCAGGGCTTACTCTGCTGCAATAGTTTATAGTATATTGAAAGGCTTGTCGCTTCATGCTTAACTGCTAATGTTGCCTCTAATCTTGAAACCAATGTTTCAATAAGCAGTTTACCACTAGGTCAACAGAGCTTAATGGTATTGTGTTATCTCAATTGTGCGAAGACAAATAGTGTTTTTGGGATGCTGCAATAAAGGGAAAAGCAGATGTTTCCTCTGCAAAATTGAAAAGATGCAGCAAATATGTTGAGATATCTAAGAAAATGCATTAAACTAAATAATGCATAATCATCTGATGATTTTTTACTTTTAGAATTCAGACTTAATTTGAGTACGGTATGTTAAGTTAGTGGGGGAAATAATTTTAATTTTAAGAAATAACTTTCATAACCCCCTTATTCCATTTAATTCAGCATATTTAAAAATTTGACAACAACTTTTTCATATGTAATATAAAAAAATTTTTACACAAGCAGAGTTTGTATAGGAACTGGACAGAGGGCCATATTCTTTTACGAAATGGCCTAAAGATTATTTTGTATGTTTATCTATGTTTATGTTTCCAAAATACAGAGGGAACATTCATGCCTACATTTTTCATACACTTTGCTGATTTATTTATTTATTTATTTATTTATTTATTTATTTATTTATTTATTTATTTATTTATTTATTTCCTTTGAGCTAATATGTTTATTTCAGATTGGAAATAAGAAAGACAAGATCTATGTAAAAAGGGATAAGAAACCAAAATAATTAAACTGTTTTGCATAGTGGCATGTTGAAAAGTATCTACCCTCTTCTAAATAATCATTCAGAATCACTTTTATTGGCATTTCTGCAATCAAACCCTTTATATATTTTCTAACCCGGAATATGCATTAATGATTTTTCTTAAGTGATGAGCTGCAAGTCTCTGATGCTGGAGGGCTCCCCTGCCATCATCTTGGTCTTTAGCTCCAACCACAGACTTTCTATCAGATTTAGAATGGGACATTGGCTGAGCCACCCTCCTTTTTAGGTGAAATTAAAATGCAGTAAAATTTAAAGATCACTTAAAATATAAATCTTATTAATATAAATAAAACTCAGTTTAACTCTAAGAAGATTGTGGGAAAGGTAATTAGATCTCTGTAACTTGAATGTTACTAGTATAGCAAAAACTGGCATACTGTTATCACAAAGTCTCCTTAGTAACCATTAAATGTTGTCTACATGCTAACTGGTTGTGATAAAGCCAGAATATATATATATATATATATATATATATATATATATATATATATATATATATATATATAT